TTTTTTTTTTTTTTTTTTTTTGAGGCGGAGTCTTGCTCTGTCGCCCAGGCTGGAGTGCAGTGGCTCTATCTCGGCTCACTGCAAGCTCCGCCTCCCGGGTTCACGCCATTCTCCTGCCTCAGCCTCCCGAGTAGCTGGGACTACAGGCGCCCGCCACTGCGCCCGGCTAATTTTTTTTTGTATTTTTAGTAGAGATGGGGTTTCACCGTGTTAGCCAGGATGGTCTCGATCTCCTGACCTCGTGATCCGCCCGTCTCGGCCTCCCAAAGTGCTGGGATTACAGGAGTGAGCCACCGCGCCCGGCCGAGAAATATTTCTTAAATAAAAAATATTTAATATACTGGGGAAAATAACAAATACAATTTATTAAAATTAAGAGCTTATCAAAATACAGAGAGACTGAGAGCAATACCAAAGAAAGGACTCTTACCCAGCTTCATGTAAAGAACCACTATAAATCAAGAAGAAAAAGACCCCTAAAATAGTGGGAGATGAGCAAAATAAGTCTTCAAAATAGAGGTTATCCAATAACTGAAAAGTGTGCTGAAATGTTCAAGTCTGTTAGCAATCAGAGAAATGTAAATAAAGCCTGCGACCATCACACAGCAACCAGAAGACTAAATGAAAACGACAGAAAATACCATGTGTTGGGCTGGGCCCGGTGGCTCACGCCTGTCATCCCAGCACTTTGGGAGGCTGAGGTGGGCGGATCACGAGGTCAGGAGATGGAGACCATCCTGGCTAACACGGTGAAACCCCGTCTCTACTAAAAATACAAAAAAACTAGCCGGGTGAGTTGGCGGGCGCCTGTAATCCCAGCTACTCGGGAGGCTGAGGCAGGAGAATGGCGTGAACCCGGGAGGCGGAGCTTGCAGTGAGCTGAGATCGCACCACTGCACTCCAGCCTGGGAGGATCGCACCAGACCCAGCCTGGGAGAGACAGCGAGACTCTGTCTCAAAAAAAAAAAAAAAAAGAAAAAGAAAAAGAAAAATACTATGTGGTTACAGTATGGGTACTCCTAGTAAATTCATACATTACTTGCTGTAAGCACCATTTTTTTTTTTTTTTTTTTTTTTTTTGAGACGGAGTCTAGCCTGCCGCCCAGGCTGGAGTGGATGCAATCTCGGCTCACTGCAAGCTCCGCCTCCCGGGTTCACGCCATTCTCCTGCCTGAGCCTCCCGAGTAGCTGGGACTACAGGCGCCTGCCACCACGCCCGGCTAATTTTTTCTATTTTTTGTAGAGACGGGGTTTCACCATGGTCTCGATCTCCTGACCTTGTGATCCGCCCGCCTCGGCCTCCCAAAGTGCTGGGATTACAGGCGTGAGCCACCGCGCCCGGCCTGCTGTACACCATTTAAAGTGTCCCTGCAATGTATTCATCACTGTTATGATGAGCAGCCATGTAGTAACTTTCTATTCTTCACAAATCTATGAGGTAGGTGCTGCCATTATCAGGATGAGAACTTAAACATGGAGACGGTAAGTGATTTGTCTAAATTCAGACACTGGGCAGGAGTAGAGTGGGGACTTGATCCTGTCTGGACTGAAGTCACAGAGTGCCTTTAACTGACATGCTCTATTATGATTGGTGAGTCATCTGCTATTAGATTTTTGGATGTGAGCACATCACATAACTAGCCTTCTCCTTTCTCGCTATAACAATTGCCTTATAACATTTTGGATTTCTACTCATGTAAAGTTACAGGTTTCAGGTTTCAGGTACAATCGCTACCTGGTAACAAACAGTGTAGACCATCTGTGTGGTTAAGGGAGAGTTCAGAAGCCCGGCAACCCACAGTGGAGAAGATCAGCTAAGCCTCCAGTGAGGTCTACTATATCTTGCTGAAGTTAGCGTCCATAAGAAGGTCATTTCGTCTAAGTTCATCAAGCCTTGTGGTCACAGGAGAATGCTGCTGAGCAGCAATGCTAAGGAAAGCCTACACTTTGGCTAGGAGTTTAGTATTGGGAGGGGTACTCTCCCATACTTTGGGAGGGAATAATATAAAATGATTATTTCCCTTCTCTTTGCTCATCTGCACCTAAACCATGAGGAACTATGCATATGCACCTCATCAGAAGAGTGCACTAACAGCAGCAAGAGAAAAAGCAGCACAGAAAACACAAGGTCACTAAGTTTTCCTACACAACAATCACTTGTCAGGCAACTGTCTGAGATGCCTAATTCTCCCCAGAGTGGATGTCTCCTTGTACACGCACACGTGTGACACACACACAGATACAGTTTGGCTCCGTGTCCCCACCCAAATCTCACCTTGACATGTAATAATCCCCATGTGTCAAGGGCAAGACCAGGTGGAGGTAACTGAATCATGGGGATGGTTTCCCCCATGCTGTTCTCATCGTGAGTGAGTCTCATGAGATCTGATGGTTTTATAAGCATCTGGCATTTTCCCTGCTTGTACTTCTCCTTCCTGCCACCGTGTGAATTTGTGAAGGTGCCTTGCTTCCCCTTCACCTTCTGCCAGGATTGTAAGTTTCCTGAGGCCTCCCTACCATGCTGAACTGTGAGTCAATTAAACTTCTTTCCTTTGTAAATTGCCCAGTCTCAGGAATTTCTTCATAGCAGCGTGAGAATGAACGAACGAACTACATATATACGAAATAATACTACATAGTACTATATGGTATACTATACAGTATACACCACTATCAGCTACGCTAGGGTACCCAAATTTCTTTCAATACAGATGCAAAAAGTCTCAAAAGATACTACAAAACTGAATTTACCAACACATAAAAAGACTTATACTTCATTACCAAGAGAGATTTAATCCCCCAAAAAAGCAATGTTGTTTTTGCATCTAAAAGTCAATTTGGCTGGGCACAGTGGCTCACATCTGTAATCCCAACACGTTGAGAGGGCAAGGCAGGAGAATCACTTGAACCTAGGAGTTTGAGACCAGCCTGGGTGACAAAGTTAGACCCAATCTCTTACTTTAGAAAGTCAATTAATGTAATACACCATGTTAACAGAATAAATTTCAGAAACCACAAGATCATTCCAATAGATGCACAAAAACCATGAGAAAAACTTCAACAATACTTGACAATGAAATATTCAATAATAATGGACAGCAGGAAACTTTCTCAATCTACTTTAAGAAATTTATTTTAAAAATCCTCAGCTAACATCATACATGATGGTAAGACTGGATGCTTTCTTTCTCAGATTAGACACAAGACACTGTTCGATCACAGGTCTCTCTCCTTAAACCAATGTGACCGGTGCAAATAGCCAAAAATAATGACAATGTAAAGAACAACAGATGAAAATAATAATTCACGTGAGAATATACTCTATAATAAACTTTACATACTTACAAATTGACAGCAACTCTATTAGCAAAGAAAATAGACTCATTTATCAATTATTAACAAAACAATTAACCTACACATAAGTTAAACCTACATACATATTACAAATACATTTCACACATCTACTATGTAACCCACAACAATTTTTAAAAAATATTTTATATTTTAAATATTTAAAAAATATTTTTAAAAATGGCTATGCAAGAAAAAAAGGAAAAGAAATACATTTCAATTTACCCATATATAACCAACATACTTTAAAATGGGGAGAAAAAGGAAATTTATTTACTAGCTTAAAAAAGAAGAACACATATTAACTCTTGTACTACTGCTTGAAGAATACTTACAGAAGTCTCGCCTCGGCTGAGTGCGGTGGTTCACGCCTGTAATCCCAGTACTTTGGGAGGCTAAGGCAGGTGGATCACGAGGTCAGGAGATCAAGACCATCCTGGCTAACACGGTGAAACCCTGTCTCTACTAAAACCACAAAATATTAGCCGGGTGTGGTGGTGGCACCTGTAGTCCCAGCTACTCAGGAGGCTGAGGCAGAAGAATGGTGTGAACCTGAGAGGTGGAGCTTGCTGTGAGCCGAGATTGTGCCACTGCACTCCAGCCTGGGCGACAGAGTGAGACTCCATCTCAAAAAAAAAAAAAAAGATGTCTTGCCTCAATGTGTTTTTTTTTCCAAAAGAAGCGAAAATCTATATTCTAGAGACTCTCTTTAAAAATTAGCAACTGATGGCCGGGTGCGGTGGCTCAAGCCTGTAATCCCAGCACTTTGGGAGGCCGAGACGGGCGGATCACGAGGTCAGGAGATCGAGACCATCCTGGCTAACCCGGTGAAACCCCGTCTCTACTAAAAAAATACAAAAAACTAGCCGGGCGAGGTGGCGGGCGCCTGTAGTCCCAGCTACTCGGGAGGCTGAGGCAGGAGAATGGCGTGAACCCGGGAGGCGGAGCTTGCAGTGAGCAGAGATCCGGCCACTGCACTCCAGCCTGGGCGACAGAGCGAGACTCCGTCTCAAAAAAAAAAAAAAAAAAAAAAAAAATTAGCAACTGATATATTCAATTTATTCATAGCTCCTAAAACATCTCATTCACACAGTGAATTTTCTTGAGAATTGTACTATAATTATTTTACATAAGGTTTTCCATAATACTTACATTTATAGGATTTATTTCCAGTAGGAGTTTTCACATGACTTTTAAAGTAATTGTTAAAATTCAGAATTTTCTGTATTTCCCAAACTACTAGGGTTTCAATCTGGTGGGCATTCTTTTCTTTATAAGGTCAAACTGCAGTATGTGTTACCATGTGTCTCTGAGTGAGTTATAGGATAAATGAAGGCATTCCCACATTTGATACATTCATAAAGTTTTTCTCTAGAATGAGTTATTTTATACCATCAGATACCACTGGAACAACTGCAGGCCTTACCACATTTTATACATTCATACGGATTTTCTTCAGTGAGTCCTTTCAAGTTTTCAAAAAGAAATGGAAAACTGAATACTTTACATTATTGCTTATAGTCATAGGGTTTATCTCCAGTTTGATTCCTCTCATGTATTTGAAGAAATCTGGGGAAATTAAGTACTTTCCTACACCTTACATTCAGAGTTTCTCTCAAGTATGTGATCGTTCATGTTTTTGACAAAAATTGTAGTGATTAAAGCCTTTATATTTTTTTACATTTATAGGGCTTTTCTCCAGTATGAGTTTTTTTATGCTTCCAAAGAGTACTAGCACGACTAAAGGCTTTACCACATTTCTGACATTCATAGGGTTTCTCTCCAGTATGAGTCCTTTCATGGTCACGAAGGGAACTGGAACATCTGAAGCCTTTACCACAACTGTTACATACATAGGGTTTCTGTGCAATATGAGTTTTCTCATGTTTCTGAAGGGAACTGGCATATCTGAAGGCTTTCCCACATTGCTTACATGGATAGGGTTCTTCACCAGCATGAGCCTTTATATGTCCTTGCAAGGAACTGAGACAACTGAACGCTTTGCCACATTCCAGGCACACGTACGGTTTCTCTCCAGTGTGAGTTCTCTCATGGTAGTGAAGGCAATTGGAATAACGGAAGGTTTTCCCACAGTGCTGACATTCATAGGGTTTCTCTCCAGTGTGAGTCCTCTCATGGTCTCGAAGGTGACTGGAACGACTGAAGGCTTTCCCACACTGCTTACATTCATAGCGTTTTTCTCCAGTGTGAATCCTTTTATGTCTATTAAGAGAACGGGAAAAACCTAAGGCTTTCCCACATTCCATACATTCATAGGGTTTCTCTCCAGTGTGATTTCTCTGATGCATCTGAAATGAACTGGGAATATTAAAAACTTTCTCACACATTGTACAACTATAATGTCCATTTCCAGTGTGCATTACTGTGTCTCTTTGAATGCTTGTGACAGAAAGTTTTCTGACACCGTTTACATGTACACGGCTTCTTTCTGCATTCCTCACACCCATATGGGTTGTTCCAGAGTGAGATATGATGTGTCTATGAAGGGATGAATGACGTACGAAGAATTTTTCACACGCACTGCATTCACGTGGTTTTACTCCAGTAGGAATTATTTTGTTCAGATTAAAATTTGGCATCTGAAAGTTTTTCTACACTGACTTACTTAATTTTACATAGTATGTCTATCATATGACTTCTACAAAAAATGACAACCCCATCATTAATGGCTTACTAGTTATTTTCTTTTATTACTAAGTCTGAACTTACACTGCTACCAATATCAGAGAAAGTGCAGGTTTTCTAACATAAACAAATTGAACATAAATGGATTGATTAGTCTACAGCATGGTTCCCTCCCCTATAGCTATTAACAAAACAGTAATATTCTTATATGCAGTTTCTTAGTATCAAATACAGTTTGAGCATTTACTCCCTTCCAATTTCATGCTGAAATTTGATCCTCATGTTGGAGGTGTGACCTGGTGTGAGGTGTCTGGGTCATGGGAGCAGATTCCACATAAGGAGTGACTTCTCACTCTAGTAGTTCCTGAAAGATCCGATTGCTTTAAAAAAAATAAAAAATTGGCTGGGTATGGTGGCTCATGCCTGCAATCCCAGCACTTTGGGAGGCTGAGGTGGGCAGATCACTTGAGGTCAAGAGTTCAAGAACAGCCTGGCCAACATGGTGAAATGCTGTCTCTACTAAAAATACAAAAATTAGCTGGGTGTGGTGGTGTGTGCCTATAATCCCAGCTACTTGTGAGGCTGAGGCCACAGAATCGCTCGAACTTGGGAGGCGGAGGTTGCAGTAAGCCAAGGTTGTACCACTGCACTCCAGTCTGGATACCAGAGTGAGACTCCATCTCAAAAAAACAAAACAACAAAAAACAAAAACTTTGGCACTTCCTTTCTCTCTCTCTTGCTCCTTCTCTCCCCATGTGACATGTCAGCTCCCCTTCCCGTTCTGCCATGACTGGAAGCTTTCTGAGGTCCTCATCAAAGGCAGATGCTGGCTCTATGCTTCTGATAAAGCCTGCAGAACCATTAGCCAAATAAAACTCTTCGTAATAAATTACTCAGCCTAGATATTCCTTTATAGCAATGCAAGTAAACTAAAACAATACTGTTTTCAAGTGAACTATTTTTGCAAACACTTAACATCTATGTTACATTGACGTATGTATTTTTGGTAAAAACTTTGGGAATAAATTGATGTTGTCTTTAATTTATTTTGTTTGCTTGGTTTTTTTTTCCCCCGAGATGGTGTTTTGTTCTTGTTTCCCTGGTTGGAGCGCAATGGCGCAATCTTGGCTCATTGCAACCTCCGCCTCCCAGGTTCAAGCGATTCTCCTGCCTCAGCCTCCCAAACAGCAGGGATTACAGGCATGCACCACCACACCAGGCTAATTTTGTATTTTTAGTAGAGACGGGCTTTCGCCATGTTGGTCAGGCTGGTCTCAAACTCCTGACCTCAGGTGATCCGCCCACCTCAGCATCCCAAAGTGCTGGGATTACAGGTGTGAGCCACCATGGCTGGCCTTGTTTGCTTTAAACATATGATTATACACTGAAATTGTCCCCAAAGGGGACTGCTTCCTCTTGTGAGTGCAAATTACCTTAGATTTCTTGAAGAATTTTTGTACTGATCTTCAATGCTCTGGTCTTTCCCTTTGTTTCCTAAAATGTAGACCCAGAAATAGATTACAAATTATTTGAAATGATAGAAAAATTACAGATTCTAGGTGCTATGTTGGGGATATGGTTTGTACCCACCAAAATGAATGCTGTCATTTGGTCACCAATATGGCAACATCGTTCATGTTATGGGTACAGGTTCCTTATTAACAGATTAACGTCCTTGCTTGGGAATGCATGTTTTCTCTTACTCCTGCGAGACTGAATGAGCTGCCAGAGGGCAGGCTGTCACAAAAGCAAGTTCAGCTGCCAAGCATTGCTCTTATTTTCTCACTGTGTGATCCCTTTGCAGATGCCCACTCGCTTCTGCTTCATGCCCTGAGCTGAAGTAGCATCAGGTCCTTACCAGACACAAACCTGGACTTTCTAGCCACTAGAATCATAAATCATTATAAAACTATTTTTGTAAATTACCCAGAATCAGGTATTGTTATAACAATTAAAAAACAAACTAAGAAACAAGAGTCACTGCACGCTGGGTCCATGCCTCATTCCTTCATCAGCGTGTTCCCTTTGCATATTCCAAATCATGGAATGACACTGCAAACCATGAAACACTTATTCTCTGATTGACTAAGTAAGGAAATATTGTGACTCTTACCTATGGAAGCCAGATTCCTGAAGGTTTCCTGCATCACATCTCTATAGAGATTCTTCTGGGAAGGATCCAACAAAGCCCACTCCTCCTGGGTGAAGTTCACAGCCACATCCTCAAAGGCAACCGAGTTCTAAAACATTTCACATTTTTGTAGAGGATGGATGAGACTGAAAGCACTGGAAATCTGTAGTCAATTCATAAGATGTTAACCTGATTCTGCGGTGAACACTGATTCCACAATTTGGTCCCTAGAACTATGACTCTGTCTACACTTTTCTCCCACACAGCAGTCCTTTTTTTTTTTTTTCTTTTTTTGAGATGGAGTCTCACTCTGTCATCAGGCTGGAGTGCAGTGGCGTGATCTCAGCTCACTGCAATCTCTGCCTCCTGGGCTCAAGTGATTCTCCTGCCTCTGTCTCTCAAGTAGCTGGGACTAGAGGCACGCGTCACAATGCCCAGCTAATTTTTGTATTTTTAGTAGAGACGAGGTTTCACCATGTTGGCCAGGATGGCCTCAATCTCTTGACCTCGTGATCCGCCTGTCTGTGCTGGGATTAAAGGCGTGAGCCACCACGCCCAGCCAGCAGTTCTTATGCTAAAGTTGAATTATTCAGCAAGGCAGCAGCAGAGAAGGAACACCCTTCTTGTTGGTGAGTCCAGGGAATAATATTTGCTGTTATGATTTTTCTTTATAGAATATACCTGTAGCGCATATCATAACAAAGTCTTATTATCTGGTGTGCATAAAAGAGTTAATATTAGCAGTCACAAGATTACTTATCCTTAGAAATACCTGCTACAAAGTTCAAACTTTGCTGGTATCAGGGCACTTACATTTTAAGAGGCATCCCAACAACCTAAGTGATAAAAGTGGCTCACTGTTGCTCAATGGTTTATCTAAACAATCTGGAATTTGCTGAACTCCTGTTTTCCTTCCAAAAGTCTATTATTTTGTTTTATTGTAGCAGTGGTGCCTCACTGAGGGGATCAGCCTCAATAAACAAACGAAAACACACTCTGAGCACTGAGTATCTGATGAGCTTCCCTGGGAGACAATATCTCATATGTGATGTCACAACTTTTTAATTGGGAAATTGAGCCCAGTCTATGTGGTTACACCAAGAGAAAACGTGTAGAAGCTTATAAGTGGTTCACTCAAGCCCAAATTTAATCAAGAGGTAATTAACACTAATAATCAATATTCAATAATCTAAAAATAATTATTTTACAATTTCTATTGAAAAATGTCAAAGCAGAATGGAATAAGTGAAAAGGCATGCGTTCAAAGAAAAAAGCTCAATGTCATCTAGATGTCACCTCTCACAAATGATATTCATGTAAAATTTTGTAGATGCCTGAAACAGACTTTCTAGCAGTTCAGCAGAAACTACTTTTCAAAACCTACAGAAATAATAAATGCTTAACAACCGTCAAAGTCTTCTGAATAACAGTGTGATGACTTGTCTAACATCCATCAATGATTTTCAAATGTAATATTCAGGGCAGTGTAGTACAAGCAGAGGATAAAGAACTAGGCCAAGAGAAAGGCATATATAGTCTTTAACAAGCTGGAACTGATACAGGAAAGCTGACTAATAACAGAGGAGGCATTGCAGGACAGGAAAGGAAGTACCAAGCACTTTAAACATGGAACAAAGCTGTTATTTAATTGGAAAAGAAAAATGGATTGCATTGCCCTCTGTTAGGTGGACAATAATCAATTTGTTGTATATTCAAATGTAAAAAGTACAAATAGACCGCTTGCAGAAGTCACAGACAAGGTTTCTTCTGACAAATGAATAGGAGAAAAGGAGCAAACAACAGAGACTGACAAATTCTTTTTTTTTTTGAGACAGAGTCTGGCTCTGTCGCCCAGGCTGGAGTGCAGTGGCGCGATCTCAGCTCACTGCAAGCTCCGCCTCCCGGGTTTACGCCATTCTCCTGCCTCAGCCTCCCGAGTAGCTGGGACCACAGGCGCCGCCACCACGCCCGGCTAGTTTTTTGTATTTTTAGTAGAGATGGGGTTTCACCGTGTTAGCCAGGATGGTCTCGATCTCCTGACCTTGTGATCAGCCTGCATCGGCCTCCCAAAGTGCTGGGACTACAGGCGCCGCCACCACGCCTGGCTACTTTATTTGTACTTTTTAGTAGAGACGGGGTTTCACCGTGTTAGCCAGGATGGTCTCGATCTCCTGACCTCGTGGATCCGCCCGTCTCAGCCTCCCAAAGTGCTGGGATTACAGGCTTGAGCCACCGCGCCCGGCAAGACTGACAAATTCTAATATATTAAAATTAGGGGAATTAAAAGACAAAAAACAGTAAAATAAAAATCTGCAATACATGCAATATAAAATAAATTAGTGTGCACAGTAAAAATGAATGAAAACATGATTTAAAAATGGGGAAAAAATAAGCAAAAGATACATAACAAGATAAAAGACCATTTATGGAAAGAGATCCATTTTCTTGGTAATAAGATAGCCAAATAGTATGGCATATAGATAATAGTTGACATTCTTTAGAAGAATGAAAATTAGACAATCTCAAGTGGTGATTACCACACCAAATAAACACGCAGAAATGAAGGCCAAGGCAGTGGATAGACTCCATTGCTATTTCCAGTAATTTGAACTTTATCACAATCTACAGTCCAGTAATTTTTCTCTAATGTCCAGAAAATTTATTGTGCCTTATCCAGGTTTATATTCGGCATTCTTAAGGAAAAGCAATTCCAACCATGAATTTCTCATCCAGCCAAAATAAGCTTCATAAGCGAAGGAGAAATAAGATCATTTTCAGACAAGTAGCTACTAAGATAATTTGTTACCACTAGCTCTGCCTTACAAGAGGTCCTAAAGGGAGTGCTAACTATGGAAAGGCCATTACCAGCCACCACAAACACACATTTAAGTACATCGACTAGTGACACTATAAAACAACCATACAAACAAGTCTGCATAATAACTAGCTCACGACACAATAACAAGATCAAATCCACACATAGAAATAGCCCAGGAGTTCCAGACCAGCTTGGACAATCTAGTGAGACATTGTCTCTACGAAACAATAAAAAATTAGCGGGGCCTGTCAGCACATGCCCATAGTCCCAGTTACTTGTGAGGCTGAGGTGGGATGACTGCTTGAGCCCAGGAGGCAGAGGCTGCAGTGAGCCGAGATCGTGCCACTGCACTCCAGCCTGGGCAGAACAAGACACTGCCTCAAAAAAATAAATAAATAAATAAAGTGAAAACAAAACAAAACAAAACAAAACAAAACAAAAAAACCAGATGCTGGTAAGGTTGTGGAGAAAAGGGAATGCTCATACACTGCTGGTGGGAATTCAGTTCACTCATTTTGGAAAGCACTGTGGCGATTTCCCAAAGACATTAAAACAGAACTCCCACCAACCCAGCAGTCCCATTTATTGAGTATATATCCAAAGAAACAGAAACCACTCTACCGTAAAGAAATGCGCATGCATAGGTTCACGGCAGCATTGTTCACAAATGTGTATACACCACATCTTCTTTGTCCAGTCTACTGCTCATGGGCATCTAGGTTGATTCCATGTATTTACTATTGTGTACATGTGCCCCTGAACCTAAAATAAACATTTACAAAACAAGCAGAATACATAGACAAGAAGAGTAAAACACATAATAAAAGAAATGTGTGTCTTAAATCTTCCGTAAAAAGTCTCTAAGGGCACACCAGCAAGTTGGATAACATTGATGAGGTGAACAAACGTCTAGAAATACACAGTGTACCAAGACTGAATCATGAAGAATTAGGAAATCTAAACAGACCCACAGTTATATGATATTGATGTAGTAATCAGAACCCCTAAATTATAAAAACCCAAGACCAAATTGTTTTACTGACAACATCTATTGAACATTAAAAAAATTAATACCTGGGTGCGGTGGCTCACACCTGTAATCCCAGCACTTTGGGAGGCTAACATGAGGCAGGCAGATCATGAGGTCAGGAGATCAAGACCATCCTGGCTAACATGGTGAAACCCCGTCTCTACTAAAAATACAAAAAAAAATTTGCTGGGCCTGGTGGCGGGTGCCTGTAGTCCCAGCTACTCGGGCGGCTGAGGCAGGAGAATGGCGTGAACCTGGGAGACGGAGGTTGCAGTAAGCCGAAATTGCGCCACTGCACTGCAGCCTGGGCGACAGAGCAAGACTCTATTTCAAAAAAATTAAAAAAAAATTAACACCAAGCCTCCTCAAACTCCTCCCAAAAAAATGAAGAGAAAGCAACACTTCTAAACTCAGTCTATAAGGCCAAAAATTTACACTTACACTAAAGATGGACAAAGACACTACAAAAGCTACAGATGTAACTATAAAATACAGTTATATAAAGTACAGTTATAACTACTAACTCAGAACTCTTCACTTAAGTACTAATGCAGAAATCCTCATTTAAGTACTTAATGCAGAAATCCTCACTTAAGTACTAACCATATTTAGCATCATAGTAAAAGGATTATGCACCAAAACCAAGTGAGATTTATTCCTAAAATAAAATGGTTCAATATATGAAAAATCAATCAGTGTAATACATAACATTAGCAAAGTGACTGAAATATCATAACTATTGCAACTGATGCAGGAAAAGTATTTGGCAAATTGTTAAGACCCATTCATGATACATACACAATAACCGAGGACTAAAAGGAAACTACAATATGAAAAACCAGCACTAACATCACCATCAATGCTGAAATACGGAAACGAACAAGTAAAAAACCCTTTTCTCCCAAGATGAGGAAAGAGCTATAGAGAACACCTGCTTTTATCACTCCCATTCAACACAGTATTGGAAATCCGGGGCACAGTGATCGGGCAAGATTGTTGTACAGATTTAGCATTAATGTGCCAAATGCTGGCAACAGAAAATAGCACAGACTTATCCACTCTAACAAATTCTTCATCCTGCAAGAAACAAACTGATGTTTTGGTTAATTTTTGTAATTCACCAATTTATGTATCATACTTTTGTGTGTGGAAACGTATTCACTTTTTGTAACCATAAAGGAAGAGAGATTTTTCCTATTTCTCTTCCCTAGTAGGATTCCTGATTAAAAGCCCTAGAATTTCATTTGAAATTACCCAAAAGAAGAGACCTCAAAAAATTACTACATATGCTCAGGGGAATGAAAATAACATATAT